TTATTTTTCATTATTATTATTGTTGGTCTTTTTTGAGACAGGGTCTCATAGCCACAACTACCTGGAACTCACCATGCCTCTGCCTCCTAAGTGCTGGGATTAAAGGCGTGCACCACCTGCTTAGGACTCCAGCTTTGGCGAGGGGGGGGGGCAAGTAATGACTCCAGTTTGTAATCCCAGCACTGGGAAGGGAGAGATAGGTGGGGCCCTGGGGCTCACTGGCCAGCCAACTTAGTCTACATGGTAAGCTCCAGGAGTGACAGAACTTGTCTCAAAAAAAGGTGGACAGGGGCTGGAGTGTTGGCTCAGTTGTTACAAGTATGTACTGCCATTTCCATTCAGTTCCCAGCTTTCACATCCGACTCACAATCCCTGTAACTTCAGCTCTAGGGGATCCGATGCTATCTTCTGGCCTCTGAGGGCACTTACACTCACATGCACATTACCCACACATGGGCACATAATTAAAAATAAATCTTTTTGTTTAAATGGACCTAAGGTTGGAGAGATGGCTCAAAACAATTAAGAGCGCTGGCTGCTTTTATTTTATGCTGGCTTCATTCCCAGCATACACATGGCAGCTGACAACCATCCATTGCTCTAGTTCCAGGGGATCTGATGCCCTCTTCTGGCCTCTGTGGGCATTGCACAAATGTGGTACACTTACATCCATGCAGGCAAAACATGCATACACCTATCTTTCCACCAAGATGGTGTGATTAATTTTTAAAAACAATTTGCACCTCTAAATTTTTTTCATCACCTGTCTACTCAAGTGTCTCTCCACATCAGTCCAACTTTCTACTTTGATGCATTTAAAGTAGGTTGAGAACAGTAGTACTTGATATGTCAGCTGCACATATGAGTCCACAGTCTACAATTAGTAGACTCAAATTAATTGCAAGTAAGGTTAAAAAGGCCGAATGTGACTACAAAGAAATGGTGATATAGACCTGTAATCTCAGCAGTAGGGAGACGGAGGCAGGAAGATCCATAATTTGAGGCTAGCCTGGGCTGTGTTGTGATACCCTGTCAGAAAAAGAAAAGGAAGGAAATGAAAGCTTCTAAAGTGAAGAAGTAGTCTTGTTTGAATATTCGTGGATAATGCAGTGATGAAGTCATTTTCAACTGTATCCACAGAGGATGGAGAGGCACGGGAAAGGGATGAAATCCGGCACGATAGGCGAAAGGAGAGGCAGCATGACCGGAATCTCTCCAGGGTAGCTCCCAATAAGAGGTAGGCTGCTGCTTGACATAAGAGAAACATTTTGGGGCCTAAGAGTTTGTCAACTAAGATCAATTTTGCTTTTTCTCTTTTTCTTCCTTAGCTTGATAGTAACTTAGCACTTAGTTTTGTTGCACTGCATACTTTGTGTTGAATTGACTGTCCCCGGAAGGAACCTTTTCTTCCATCACCCTCCCTGTCCAGTTAGTTAGAATGAAGACTGATGGGGATATGGAAAAGGGAATCCAGGTCGTGTCTGTGAAAAAGTTGTAGAGAATCAAGCTGTTCCGGTCTGTGCTCATCCTACGTGAAATGGTGAGGTAAACTGGAAATAAGCTGCCATGACTTAGACATCCTTTCCTGTGCAGAATGCTGTGCTGAGCACAGTGGGTAGAAGCACAGGTTTTGGAAGAAGATTCTGAGCTGTCATGAGCAGTTTGTCTTAAGTTTCAGGACAGAGCTATTGTACAACATAATTTGGAAATGTTTGCAAATATAAAATGGTATAAACCAAACCAAATAAATGTATGGGGACATAAAGGAGGAATGGGGGAAGTTTCTTTCACCAAATTTCACCAAGGGCTGAGAACTGCAATGGTTGAAAGTAAAGGAGATGCTGTCACACAAAGGTAGAAGTCTGGGTGGGGATTAAATGCAAATGTGAGACATTTCTTCCCCTGTGAGCAATTTTCCATGCTCTGATCATCACAGCGCACAGTTTGAAGTTACATCCCAAATCCTACCTGCTGCTGTGGTTCCTTGTTCACTAGTGTATTTCACCTCCCTGGATAATTATAGAGAAGTAGTAGACTGAATTCAGAGCTGGGTAAGCCTACAGTACAGAAGAAAGAGGAGTGAAGTATGAGTGTGTTCAATTCATGATGCTCTTAGTTTGAACTTCCTAAATTGTAAAATGCTCTGCACAGAAATTGGGCCCTTAGAAACCAGTAAGATGGTATCAAGAATTGATAGCACAAAAAACTATAGACTTAAATTAGATGAAAATTCTACAGAAATTCTTTTAAAATGTGAGTATCTAGTAAAGGTGATGACAGTTACCATGGTTTTATTGAGATGTGAATGGCATTGATACTGAAACAGCAGAGGAATTAATTGCTCTCAGAAGTCTACAAAGTAATGCAGTCATTGATGTGTTTTCCTCAGAATCCTAGAAGGATAAAATTTCTAACTGAGTTAAGTCAAAGCTTGTTCTAGCTCACTGGAATTGGTTGATTCCTGTGATGCATCAATTTGAAATCAAGAGCCAGTCTCTGGAGTGTTCTTTGGAGCCAATAGGTCCTAATTGTATAATGCCACCTACCCCCTGCTAACCATGCCTCTGAAGTGCTGGAAGGGCTGTCAGGGTGAATGTACATTATCAGGGAATGTGTGTTCATGAGACAGAAACATGGCACAGCAGTGCATTCATTTCTTCTGCTTCTGAGAATACGTGTATTTAAATTGCATCTATTCATCTTATCTATAAAGTGTACTCAGTTAATGACACTGTATTTCAAATAGGTCAAAACTGCAGAGAAATGAAAATCAAGACATCAGTCAAGTTATTGCTCTTGGTGTGCCCAATCCTGAAACTTCCAATGAAGTCCAGTATGACCAAAGGCTCTTCAACCAGTCCAAGGTACATGGATCTTAGAAACAGCTTATGAGTTGATAGAATCCCTGTTCTCAGGGTAAAAAAATGTACATGGTTTAGATTTGGATTGGCCAAAAAAAGTATGCCAGAATGATGACAGAAACAATTGAACTTGTATGTTGTTACTTCAAAAAGATAAGAAAAGCTGGGGATGGAAGCCCATGCCTGTAATCCAACTGGGACAGGAGGCACCTAGGACAGGACGGTGGTGAGTTCAAGGCCAGTCTAATCTTGGAACACTTCTGATTGTGACCTCTTACCATTGGCTACAATTTGAAGCACTAGTGGAAAAAGGTGATGAGCTTGGATCCTACTATGTCTTTTGTTTCTAAAATAGAGCTAGTTTCCAATAAAAATACTTGACGTGATATTTGTTGTTGATCCTTGGAAAAAACTTTTTTTAGTACTGCAGTGTTTTTCTTATCCACTGTGAAATGGCAATTTAGCCTGAGCAAAAAAAGAGAGGTGAAATTTCCATGTAAGTAAATATTTTTTTTCTTTTGGCCTTTTTGAGACAGGGTCTCCCTGTGTCCCAGGTGGCCTAGAGCTCTCCATGTAGACCAGACTAGCCTTGAACTCACTGACTGTTGGGATTATAGGTGTGTGCTACCATGCTGGGCTATAATATTCTCAAGACTGTCATAATCTTAAAGAATTTAAAAGTTGGATGAAATTTTTTAAGATTTTCATTGAGAGCCTTATCTTGTGCTATAATGGTGATGTTCTCAGACAGTTAAGGTAACACTGTTTCTTAGTATCCCTACATTTTTTTAAATATTTTATTATTTTTACTTTATGTATATTCATGTATTCCCTGCATATAGGTAAGTGCACCCATGTCAGGCAATGCCTGCGGAGGTCAGAAGAGGCTGTTGGATCCCCAGGGACTAGAGTTACCAACAGTTGTTAGCTGCCATGTGGGTGGCTGGGATTTGAACCTGGGTCTTCTGCAAGAACAACCAGTGTTCTTAACTGCTGAGCCTTCTCTCCAGGCCTCAATTTTTTTTTTAATTAAAAAAGTTATTTTTATGTTTTTTTTTTTAATGTGTATGAGTGTTAGGCCTGCGTGTATATAAGTGCACCCATGTCATGCGTTACCCACAGAGGACAGAAGAGGCCGTCTGGAACTGGAGTTACAGTTGTTAGCTGCCATGTGGGTGCTGGGAATTGAACTAAATTGAACCGCTGAGCCATCTCTCCAGCCCCTATGTTATGAGTTCTGCTTCCATTTATATGGGTGCACCCATGTGTGCAATCCCTGCAGAGGTCAAAAGAGGACATGGAGTCCCCTGGAACTGGAGTTACAGGTGGTTGTAGGCCACCGTGTGGGTGCTGAGAGCTGAACACAGGTCTTCTGCAAGAGCATCCAGTGTACTTACCGTAGAGCCATTTCTCCAGCTCACATCCCTCAATTTTAATAACACTGAAAGTCAGAGTTTAATGAATACCTTAATTTACAGGTCTCTGGCTAAGGACCCAAACATGCATGTACAAATTTATGTGCCTTATTATAGATGAAGACTTTTTTTTTTTTTTTTTTGGTCTTTTTGAGACAGGGTCTGCCTGTAGCTCCAGCTGTACTGGCATTCACTATGTAGACGAGGCTGGCCTTGAACTCACAGAGATCCACCTGCCTCTGCCTCTGCCTCTGCCTCCCAAGTACTGGGATTAAAGGCATGCACCACCATGCCCAGCCAAATTCAACTTTTAATGCATAATGTACACATCTTTATTTAATGTCATATTTCACAAGGTATGGACAGTAGATTTGCAGATGGAGAAGATGAAATTTACAATGTTTATGATCAAGCTTGGAGAGGTGGTAAAGATATGGCCCAGAGTATTTATAGGCCCAGTAAAAATCTGGACAAGGACATGTATGGTGATGACCTGGAAGCCAGAATAAAGGCCAACAGGTACCAAGGCAGGTAATTGCCTCTCAGTACTTATACCAGTAAACAGAAGTACTTCATGGCCTCTCTCTTTTTTGTTGCCTAGATTTGTTCTTGATAAGGAGTTTTCTGGTTCAGACCATAGACAGAGAGGCAGAGAAGGACCAGTCCAATTTGAGGAAGATCCTTTTGGTTTGGACAAGTTTTTGGAAGAAGCCAAACAGCATGGTGGCTCTAAAAGGTCCTCAGATAGCAGTCGCCCCAAAGAACATGAGCATGAAGGCAAGAAGAGGAGGAAGGAGTAGACTCTCCAGAGCAAATGAACTCTTATTCACAACCCTAATGATGCAAGTCATTGGGAAACCCTTTGTAAATGATCAGGATAAAAACCAAATCTGAGTGCCAGATCTCAGTGCTACTTTTTATTCTGGGGATTAAATATTCTACTTTGAACTTTATTTTTTATTTATTTAGTATTTATTATTTTTGTTTTATGTGTATGAGTGTATTGCTTGCATGTAGATAGGTATACCCTTGTCATGCAATGCCCACAGAGGTCAGAAGAGGGTGACAGATCCCCTGGAACTGGAGTTGAGGATGGTTATTAGCAGCCATGTGCATTCTGGGAATCGAACCTGGGTCCTCCGCAAAAGCAGTTGGTGCTCTTAACTGCTGAGCCATCTCTCCAACCATGAATTTACTTTTTTTAGAGAATGGGTTATGTCTGTACTTCCTCCTTAGAGAAAATGCTACCCCCACACACAGAATTAAGACCATTTGGTTTTGTGTGACACCTTGACTAAAGACAGTATCTTTGTAAGAATTTCTTATAATAAAGTCGCAACACATTGTTGGGGTATTGTGCACACTGGAATTGTGCTGCCAAATTGCGGGGGCCTGAGGCCAGGGGCAAGGCAGGATGGCGCCTAGAGGAAACAGCCGGGGCGTGATCAGACTTGTTTGGCGCTTAGAGAAAACAGCCGGAAACATGGCCAGACTTGTTTTAAAGAATCGCTGATTGGCTCCTGTCGTTTCCATGCATCTTGGCAGCGTGTGATCACCTCGCGAACGCTATGCTGTGCTATGGAGAGGAGACTGCATGCTCAAGTTGACCTTTAACATGATTGGACTCTTGGGTGGGTAGGGGATTTTCCTTTGTGGTTTTTGCCTTCATAAGCCCTGTAACCCCTGTGATAAACGAGTTCCTGCTTGACTGGCTCCGTGTCATGTGTGATTGTCTCCCAGGGAGGCTGCGGGTAACAGGCGGACAGCTCACCTCCCTTTCCCCAGCTCCTGTGTCGGGGCAGGACCCCCGACATCTGGCGCCCAATGTGGGGCCCGGAGACCACTCGGACCCGCTACAGGAGCTGGTCGCCGGGGCTAAGTGGGTGAGTACTGGGGGAAGTGAGACCCCAAGAGATGGGTAACACAACAAGTAAAAGTGAGGACTCGGTGCTTACGGCGCTGAGACATATGCTGAGATCCAGGGGGTTAGAACAGTCTGATTCCTCGTCAAACAAGGTCTGGGAGGCCGTCCTGCATCTCGCTCCCTGGCTGCCCGCTGGCAATTTATTCCAGTGGGCTACCTGGGACTGGCTTGAACAACTGGCTCGCAAGGCAGAGATCAATAGAGGGGAGGAACCACCCTTGGGGTTTTACCCCACGATCTCGGCCCTTAAGTCGTGTTTTCAACCCGATCCAACTCCAGGCATACCGGCCTTTGCTGGATGGATAAGGCCGCAGGGGAAGATCAATGGGTCGCATTTGATGAGGAGAGAGCCCAACAATTGAAAGTGAAACCAAAGTGCATACTATGGAGAGATCTGGAAAGGGGGGTTACGAGAACGGGGAAGATAAAGGAGGGACCCCCAGCGGTCCAGATGAGCATGAGGGAAAGGACCCTTGGGGGGAGCCCAATCTAGTCCATCGGAGCTCTCCGCTCCCATGGGACTGATCCAGGCTTTCCCCATAAACATCAACCCCAGACCCCAGCTCCCAGCCGCCTGGTACCCTTGGGAAGCTAAAGATCTTAAAGAATTAAAGAAGGCAGTGGCCAAGGATGGCCCCGGGGCCCCCTGGGTCGACACCCTTCTCCACAGCTTGGTATATCAACCCTGTACTGCCAAAGACTGGATGGATCTAGCCAAGGCAGTCCTCCCCAGCCCCTTGTTCATTAAATGGGTGGCACTATACCGAGAGGAATGTCGGGTCCAGGTGGAAAATAACCATGCCACCAACGCCCCTGTCCCTATCACTTTCAGCATGCTGACAGGGACCATGGACGCCTTTGCCACGGGCGCCCAGCAGGCAGCATTTCCACCACCGTATACGGAACAGGTCAGGGCCCTTGGCCTCAAGGCCTGGCATAAGTTGGATACAGGCCCTATGGAGCCACCCATATCAGGGATCCATCAAAGCTCAGGGGAGCCATTACATGAGTTTGTAGATAGGGTTGAAAAGAGTCTAAAGAGAAAGCTTCCCCCTGGGCCACTCAGAGAACAGTTCATAAAAATGCTAGTATGGGACGGTATGAATGCCAACCATAAGGTCGCCTGCGCAGGGTTAAAGGACCATTCCATGAGCAGCTGGATTGTGGCCTCAAAGGACCTAGGGACCAAAACAAAGGCGACTGAGGCTATGGCCACGGTCCTCAAGACATAGACAGAGGCTCTAGCTACAGCCTTTAGAGAAGCCCTCACAGGCCTTGGGCCGCAGGATAGATGCCCCAGGGCTGAGGACCAGAGGTGTTTTGGGTGCAGCCAGCCCAGGCACCTAAAGATAGACTGCCTGCAAGGGAAAGCCCCTCTCAAGGTGGAGGGGGACAAGCCCAGGGCCCCATGCCCACACTGCCACAAGGGGTTTCATTGGAAAAAGGACTGCTGGTCCAGGTATGATGTGGAAGGCAAACACAGCTCCCCAGCAAGGCTCTAATGACATCTGTCCTCACACAAGGGGGGAAGCCCCTCCAATGGGTGCATACCGCCCTACAGGGCACTCCATGGGTGTATACACCCATGGACCAGTTGGCTGACCTAATTGAGAAAGGACAGGATATAGCCCTGAGACATTATGGCATTGACCCCCACAAGATTATTATCCCTTATCGGCTAAAGGACTTTGAATGGCTCTGCAGAAATAACAGCCGAATGGCCATAGCCTTGGAGGGCTTTCTGGGAAAGTTGGCCTGTCATTATGGCCCTCACAAATGGGCAACCTCCTTTCGCACCCTCCACTGGGGGGCCCCCAGGCTTTTTGTAGAGTATAAGGTTTACTGATGGAGGAAAATTCGGAGCCGCTGCAGTAATTTACCCGGCGGTAGGAACAGAACCAAAAACATACGTTCACACTTGCGAGGGCTCCGCTCAATTTAAAGAACTCATGGCCATTGCCCTAGCCTTGTCCAAAGTAGATGACCCCATGAACTTGTTCTCTGACAGCCTATATGTAGTCAACCTTCTCCCAGGATTATTAAATTCTCATATTCAGCTAGATGACAACCCTATTACCCCCCTAATGATCCAGGTTCGAACATTAACAGAAAGGGCCCCCATTTTCTTAAAACACCTTAGCAGCCACCAAGGACTGCCTGGATTCCTCTCCCAGGGCAACGCAGAGGCAGACAAAATGGCTTTTACCCATATCCTATCAGCAGGCCTGGAGAAAGCTCAACAACTGCATAATCATACCCATGTAAATTGGCAGGGACTCCGTAAGAGGTTCCCTCAAGTCCCTATCAGGGACCTAAGAAAAATTGTACATACCTGTAAGTCTTGTCAACCCTTTCTACAGGTGCCACCCCTCCAATAACCAGAGGTAAACCCTAGGGGGCTGAAGCCTAATTCTCTTTGGCAGACAGATGTCACACATTACGTTCCTTTTGGAAAACTCAAGTATGTTTTTGTGTCTATTGACACATTCTCACATGCCTTTTGGGCTACCGTCCATACAGGAGATAAGTCTAGACATGCTCAGTCTCACTTCCTCCAGTGCTTTGCTATGCTGGGATTACCTCAGAGGATTATAACTGACAATGGATCATGCTTTATTAAGTAAAAGCTTACAGGACTTCTTCTCTTTATGGGGAATCCACCATAACACAGGGATCCCATATAACCCCCAGGGCCAAGCTATCATGGAACGTAACCATCAGGACCTCCCTTTCCCTGGCTCCTGTGTCGGGGCAGGACCCCCGATACCAAATGAATTTTGCCCTATTGTGCCATTTTACTTCAGAGTAAGGATGGGAAGGCCTTGCGTAGTGCTTTGCAACTCTTTGTTTCAAATAAAAACATTTAGACAAATTCTCAGTTATATTTATTTAGTGGGTAGTACAGAAATCATCTCAGCAATCTTAATCTTCATCAGATGTTTGATCTCCTTCCAAAACCTTGGGTCTCTGAGCTAGAACCTGGAGCTAGGGGGAGGGGGGAAATGAAAGAGAAAGTTACTTCTTTATAAGAATACCATTTTATTAGAGACCGAAGACAGCAGACCAGTGACTCATCAACTAAAATCCTAGGTCAGCTGGGAAAGCCAAGATTTCAGCAAACCCCATTTGCCTAGACTGCAATTTCCGTGTTGTGTGTTACATATACCTTGCTAACCATGAAAGAGTCTTCCAACTGGGGTATAGCTCAATATAGCACATGGTTAGCACCAAAATAAAAATTAGTGGTCTTCTATTTTCCACATCAGACCTTATATGATACTAACTACTCTTTAAAAAGCGTCAAATTTTCCAAAGTCTTTGTCATTTGAAACTACTACGTAGTTGATCTGTAGAAAGCTCAGAAGATGGGAATACTTACCTTTACTCCATCAATAATATGATTTTCTTGCTGTAGTGCATTCTGAAGTTCTCCTTGTGAAGAAAATTGAACCCAACCTATACCTTTATGAAAGCCAGTCTCTCTGTCCTAAAAATTGAAAATATAATCGGAAAAGATTAACTATGAAATTGAGAAAGTTTCCATGTGCTCTAAATCAAACTACCTTACTTTTTCATTTGCCAAAATCAGATCCCAGATCAATAACATTTACTACCTTCTAGTTGTGCTTCTGAACACTAGGATTTAGCCTATACCCTTTTAGATGTAAATCACACTAACAATATACCATCTGTCTAGCCTGAAGGCCAAGAAGCAGCAAAACCACACTAATAGTGTAAGTCAATGGAAACTGATCCCTCAAGTACTCTGGTTTCTTTTTTCCTTGTTTCCAATGACCTACTTCCTAGGAGCTAGAAAAGACTCAAAATCTAGTGCATCTGATCATTTCTGAGACCAGCTGTCATCACAACTACCACTGTCACCATGTTAAACATTACCCTAACATAGTTCCGAACTTAGGGTTAAATGGTTTTTCTACTTTTGTCCTAGAAGAGGCATGTGGGGACCTAAAGGCCCCACCTTGCAGAAGTCTGAGAGGAAGTGACTGGGGCGCTGCCTGACTTACTTTGAAAGTCTGAAGAATGCTTCCGTACTGCTGAAGAGTGCATGAGCAGCGCATGACCATCTTTAAGATACACC